AAGATAATCTCACCCATAAGACGAAACACAACGCAAGCGTTATTTCACGTCGGTTTTCTGTATGACCGTGGTGTCACTTCAGTCGAGTCGGCCCAGTCGTGCCGAAGCATAACTCTCCCCACTTAAGGATTAAAAAATAATACCTACGAAACCTTGGATATATTTTCTCAGTAAGCTTTAAAATTATCTCTTTAAATCACGTTTCAGTATTCTTAATTTTCATGGCGATCCGAAATGATCCGCGGATACCGCACGATCTTCGGGGAGTCGGCGAACCTCCTTGCCGGATTACCGCCGTGGGATCTGGAGGCGAAGGTGCTCGCGTGCGTGTATCGCATGCGCGCGGAGGCACGTCGTCGCCGGGGCGAAACTACGCTGCCGCGCCAGATAAGTGCGTGGCGGGAAGAGCTCCGGGGCGATCTCATGGCGGAATGGCAGCAGCGACTGTCGCAATCGAGGGCTGGGCTCGCTGCCATTGCAGCGGTAAGTCCCCTCTTTGAGGAGTGGCTTGAGAGACGCTACGGCGCCCTCACCTACCGCCTACCTGACGCAGGTCCTCACCGGACATGGGAGTTTCGGGAGGTACCTGTGTCTGATGGTGCAGGAGGAAACGCCTGGGTGTCATCACTGCGAGGACCGCCCTGAGGACACGGTGGATTGCCCTGCGTGGGATGAGCACCGCCGTGCCCTCAGGGAAGTGATCGGCGATGGCGACCTCTCGTGTCCGGGCCTAGTGCAGGTCATGATGTGAAGCGAGGGGGACTGGGATGCCGTCTCCTACTTTTGCGAAGCAATTATGCTAGCTAAGGAGGAGGCGGGATACGTGAGGCAGCGAATCGCTGTCTCCTCGCAACCCAGCCATCGCGAAGGACACACCGGGCGTCGGGGATGGCGAGACGATCTCCGGCCACCGTAAGCGCGGGCCTGCGGACGGCAAGCATGGGTGGCTCCCCCGTCCGACCAAAAACAGACCCGAGCGTACGGCGCGTCGCGTTACGCGCGCGCCTCAAAGAGCCTTCAGACCACCACAGATGGGGCCCAATAGGGCCGATGCCGATTCGTAGTCGCGGAGAACCTAACGGGTAACCGGGGCCCCGGCTCGACGTGCAGTCTGACACTCCCCCCCGCCTCACCCAGGCGGGAGCAGGCATTCGATGATTTTCCCCCTTAAAAAAGAAAGTATTCTTAATTTCGTTTGCGTACATGTGATGGTCGCTTAAAAAAACCTTTAGAATGGCCAAAGTAGGGTGATATCATGTGATATCATGTGGCCTACTTTCCTACTATCAAAGAAACATTTATCATGCATTAACGCCTTCACGGACATTTTGAGAGGAAAATACTACTCAACTTTTTTTTTAAATTAGTATAGTAGAGTGTAGTTAGAGTATACCTAGGCGGTGCAGATTCGATCACATCATTCATTTGCTATGAGACAAAATATGATCACCATCATCAGAAAGTACATATAACTCGGAAAAAGTCACATTGGTACTTGCCGATGGGTAGGTTTCGAACCCACACCCTCATACATGAGAAGCGGGCGTCTTGAACCTCCAGGCCACCAGGACATTCAGACAAAATAAAACTAGCCAATTTTGAAGAGTCCACGTAGACTATCATCCAATCATAAATATCAAACCTCCTCACGCCTCAGCTGTCGCGAGAGGCACTTCGGGCGTTGGGGATCGCGAGATGATCTCCGACCACCGACCGTAAGCTCGTGCCCGTGAGCACAGGGTAACTCGCCACCCGACTAGAACCAGACCCGAGTGTATGGCGCGTCGTGTTGCGTATCCCCTCAAAGAACCATGGAGCCCGTCAGGGCTCGTTGCCGTTGAAGTGTACACAAGGGTACAAAACTAGGAGCTTCGTAACACCATTGCCCTAGTCTGTCGCCAGAACCGCTACCCATTGACGTTGGAAAATGGCCATTTAGAAAACGTGGTGTTATCCTTCAACGGCAAAGTCACACAGCATTTACTACCTCTATAATTATAACGAAATCGCAATAAAGAACCTTTTGCACGACTTTGTTATATTTCATTATTTTTTAGAGATAAACTAGCAGCTCCATCGACACTTTGCTAGTTTTTTACAGAATGGTTTTTGGTGAGATTTCATTTCTTTTTGTAGAAAGTGGGAATATTTATTTATTTTAATAAATTTTATTATTTGACACTTTTTTTGTTTTTAGTTATCTTATAGTTGCATTATTATATTTTGACCAAATTAGTGAGATTGATATTTTAGTGTAATTTGTTTATTTAATCAGGATCACCAATTACTCCAGATCTTCAATAATCCTAGTTTTTATAGTTTTCCCTTTATGTGGCCATAAACCCTAACTGTACCAAACAGCTCTCAGGTTATGGGAAGTACTAGTTCTATTTTGATGATCATGAGTGATTGAGTGAGTGTCATAAATACGAAAATTTGCTTTCGCTTAACTTCGGAACTAAATGACCAGTAGACTTGAAATTTTGGATTTTAATTATATGTGATGTAGCTTACTGGATGATGAACATTTCTGCGTTCTGGTCTTATCCAGAGGTTCTCAAATAGGAGCCTGAAATTGCAGCGAAATGGTTCCAGTAAAGAATGGTACGGCAGTGTTTGCTTCGCGCTCACCTGCCGTGCCCCCAGATCTGACACTCCCTCTCGCCTCACCCAAGGTGGGAGAAGTAATTTAATAATATATTTCCCGATAAAAAGGTTGCTTATGCTGTTTAAACTTTTCTACTATGATTGGTCTGCTCAACTTACAACTACGGCATAACTTAGTAGGTGATGACGTGATACATGATTTCGTTTCTAAAATAACAACAATTTATATCACTAGCGTAATAATTCAATAAAAAACTAACACTAATTGGGATTTCATAAATCTGTAAGCCACTTGAAATTACCAGCAACGCTTCCAAATTTGTCCATATTGTAGGTAATTGAAATACACACCTCCCTTTCTAAGCCCCTTCATTTGAACGAGATAAAATGCTAACTACATTAAAATTAAATTACTAAAGTAACGAGTTTTGATTACTTTGACCGAGTTAGTAAGTAACAATTTGTTTAATAGTAATTTTGTGAAGTTGTGGTAAGTGAAACATTCGCCGGTCTTCTAATAGAACAGTTATAGGTTTATTTAGTTTGTATGAGAACATTGGTTTTTAATTAATTGTTCAGAACCTACAGTAAACGAAGCTATTTAACTACTACACTACAGATTATACATAGGTCGGTATAATTTAGGATTAATTGGCACTGAATCTATAATATAGATGCGTGTAGGGATCACTGCTATCTGCCTTCTAGAACCCACAAAGTTTGACACTTTTTTCGAACTGTCAAAACGAAGTTTTCCGCGAATTTTGTACGAGATTGTGTATTGTGACGTCACGTTTTTTAGCGTCAAACAATAAAAATTTGACGCGTTCTTCTAGCTAGAGTCTGATTTCCTTTTAAAAACATTGTTTAAAGTTGCCTATTTCACCACGTGTCATCTGGCGCCTAAAGTGGGTTCGATAAAAGGAGATTTTTAATTACCATACACTTAGAAATTAGCTTAGGGATCCCAATTAGGACAGACACAAACACTTTATGGGTAGTTGTAGCTTTATTTCTCTCGGTGACTGGTAGCCGCTCGGGTTTACTTTTTAACTCTCCTTTATCTCATCTTTGATGGTGTCAGTATTTTATACATTGTTGTCTACCTCCACAACCCGCTATATTTTCTTAAAACTCCTTGACGGGTTGCGAGATTCATCTAACCACATTGTTAGTAACATAGGGCTCAGTTTCTGGCCACCAATATTCATTTATAATACTACTATTTTCTCCCTAAAATGTAAAATAACAGAGGAATGACATCTATAAATGAGATAGTTGTAAGTGACGTAAGTCACTGCATTATCATAATGACCCTCCCTGTTGTTTGGCGTTTGTAACAAATTGTCTGGAAATATGACGCATCGCTACATAGACAGCTTAGGATAAGACAGCACTTTTATATATTTTTAAATAGCATGTAGGGGAAGGGGGGAACGGGGTCCATGGAAAATTGACAATAAAAGATTTAAAACTATATATTTACCAATCACAACTAATCACAACACTTAGGTTGCTCAATAATATTCGGTTAGGTATCAAATAATCTATACAACTCAATGTATTAAAATTTTTGGATATGTCTATGTAAACTCCATCATACCCCAGGGTAGGGATAGTACGGGGTGCCCAGCACGAGGTACATTATTTCGCGTTTTAGATTATAATATTTTTCGTCAATTCTAGCAAAGGCAGTATGGATGGGCCAAGCCACTGGCCCCGTCAGAAAAGCAACTGCATTATACGGCCCCGTTGGCAGGCCGTTTCTTTGCTTTAAGCTCGTTCCAAAGTGTAGATTCCTATGGAGAAGAACGAGCAAGAAACTCCATAGGTTACTCATTTTCAATCAGGTTCATAAAAAACTTAAATAACAACTATTACTTAAATAAAATTAAAACTAAATATTACTAAATTAAATATATACAACTTAAGATTAAAATTAATTATAGGAAAAACAAACTATTTATAAGGCATCGAAAAACTCGTCCGCATCAGGTTCACAGTACAATTTTTGGTTACATCGTTTCGTTGAGTTCAATTATGTGAGAACAATGTAATAACAATATTTAGTCAAGGAGACGGGAAAAGAAAATTACCTTGAGGACAACAAATTTTATACAGTCCGGAGCTGACCAGTTCCAGTTGACTGCACCCGTTCACGAACATGACACGTACACCAGCACCCATGTTGTAGGGAACCGAGCGATCCACTGCCAATGAGACTTTTGAGGGAGCATGACAACTCCAAGCTGACACACATGCGTTCTACTAGTCTAATTTAATTTAGTTACTTACAGGGCTCTCACATTTACAATAATTATATAAAGTTTGACAGTGTACATTTGAACAAAATGAGTGTATTATTACATGATTGGAACTCATTGGAACATCAATGTATTTCGTTATCCTGTGGAGCCGGACTAGCCTGCCTCCAAGCATTTTTATCCTCATTAAGTGTACTCCTATATAATCATTAAGTGTGTAGTGTGCTTTTCTACATAACGTTTTTTTTTAATACTTATTTAAATTCTGTCTCATTGTATTTCCTCTGGAATTTTATTATAGCATTTAACACAGAATAATCGTCAATCACTGAAACTGCCTAGCGGACTAAATGCAATGGGACAAAAAGCGGCGACTATCCCTGTTTGCACTAAGGAAATGCACCCAAGGATAGGCCCCGGTTAGTGTAAAATAAAAACATTATGGTACTGAATCAACAATCTTCACATGATTCGTATCGACGTGCTTGCCCAGAATACCATTCACCACATGTCTTATCATGTTTGGGAATACACATTCTCCATATGCCACTATCTGATAATATCCTGTAAAAAAATACAGAAAAATGAAACTACTTTTAAAAAACCGACGTCAATCCATAAACTTAAAAGGGGTAGGTGCTGAGTATAATAATAAAAAGGGGTAGGTGCTGAGTATAATAATAAAAATTTCTTTTCTTGGTTTTTAGTTATTGAAGTCGGTTTTTTAAACATAGTTTTATTTTTATTGGTTACTTTTCAGTTTAAAAGGTATTTTTTTTTAAGGGGGGAAAATCATCGAATGACTGCTCCCGCCTGGGTGAGGCGGGAGGGAGTGTCAGACTCTTACTGACTAAAAACCACCCCGTTCCTTCTCCTGCACGTCGAGCCGGAGCCCCGGTTACCCGTTAGGTTCTCCGCGACTCCGAATCGGCATCGGCCCTATTGGGCCCCATCTGTGGTGGTCTGATGGCTCTTTGAGGCGCGCGCGGAACGCGACGCGCCGTACGCAGTTTAATAGGTATAGGAGAATAAGGAGAGTGAAAATATAACGCAAGTAAATAAAATTGAACCACCCATTTTTCATGTGCATTTTTCTATCTAAAACCTGAACCTTAATGAATTTTACCTGCTATAATCAGGTCAACATTGTGGTCATTCAGTGGCATTAAGTGCCGTAGATAATGTGTACCTCGGCCAACCCCTTCGGGGATAAAAGGCGTGATGTTGTGATGTTAATCAGGTCAACTTAATAGCCTCAAAGAACATTATTCCCAGGCCATATGTTGGTATAATTTTGAAAGATTTTTCATCTATCCGTTAAAGACATTTATCTTCTATCATAAGCTCATTGACTTGAAATGATGATCATCAGACCAAAAGGTATATGGATACGAGAGGTATATCCCGCTTAATTTTATTGACTTGGCTTACACTGACATGTGTGTTATGTAATGCCTCCTCATTTTTTGAAGTCGGTAAAAAGAAATACGCGTTAGCACTGAATAATATATCCTAAGCTACTAACATCGTTTTGTTCGTAGTAATTAATTTTGTTTTTATACTAAATTGCCTGTAGTAATACCTCTATTTACTTACTAGGTATTTTACTTCTTGAACTCACTAAATTAATCATATCTTCTGATAGAGTGAACCGATTTCGATGAAAAAAAAACTAAGTTATACCTCAAGTTGCGTAGAATTTTTGTATATACAAACAAACAAACAGACAAACATTTCAAAAATGATGGAAATGTGTTCTGTTAGTTATTTTTTAACACGCTGGCTATTTTTACCCGACTGCCAAAGAAGGAGGGTAATGTTTTTTTTTGTCAATTTCTTCAATGTACAAAAATTACTTTTCTACAGATTTATTATATGTATATAGATCATAGGATATAAGATTTAACGTTCGAAGTTCAATGGCAAGCTATTGCCTGTGTTGAAGTCACAGATTGAAGCGATGCCATTAATGTATGCCATGATCATTATAATTGGTAAGCTAGTTGAAATAAGGTTATAACTTTAACAGCGGTCTTGACAGAGTGGTTGAACTTTGAACAGAATGCAACGACATGCCATAGAATGCCGTGGTACAATGTGCCGTGCCATGCCAGCAGTAAGCGCTTGCTCATGGACCGACACGTTTTAATCAGGATTTGAGAAATCATTAGTGGTAGCTTTACCTATTCGTCCCTTCGTCCCAAATATGACGGTTGGTTACATAATTACGTTTTTTTTAATAACAGATAGTTTGGTTTACATTAGGTACCTCACACGTTAGTGTCACGGGAATAAGACAATTATAGTTTTAATGATGCATTATACATACATTTCAGGAGGAGGCCTTTGTCCAGCAGTGGACGTCTTTTGGCTGTTGATGATGATGATGACGATGTACAAAGTATGCCAAATACAGTTTTTATTTTGTAGATAAATACCACCTCATTAGTTTAATTAAAAATACTCACGTAATCCGACCCTGCAGTTTTCCATATAGGCATCGCAGTAGGTTTCAAAACTAGTATATCGATCGCTATAAATCCTGCTCTTTGTATTATATACGCAAACCGGTGATGGTGCTTCTCTGAAAATATATTTCTATTATCTTATGATTATCTATATACTCAATACTCAATACGTTTATTGCACTCCATATGTTTAAAAGGTGTTACATAATAATATAGTACAGTATGGACCCTGTAGGGCACGGCAACGTAGAAGAGAGGAGGACGCTAATTTTATTTAGATTATGTATCGCTGATTTTTTATTACTAGTTATAAGTAGTTGTTGTTTATTCAATTTATTTTGTAATGCTATTAGTATTATTTATGAAAATGTTTATAAATGTACTTATAATATATTCTATGTAGGTTTATATATTTATATATTAAACATTTATTTTAATAATTTTTTTCGTTATATATTTAAATATGTGTATTGTAATAGGTGATTTAATCATTAATCCTTACTATCCTTATCCTTACTATAAAGTGAGTTTGTTTGTTTGTTCCACCTTCACGCCGTAACTACTTAACCGATTGCTTTGAATTTTTGCGTACGCCCGGACCGCGAGGAAGATAACCTTTATAAAAAATTCCTCCAATACTAAGTTCTGGTGCGCGGCGAGAGTATGCATGGCTGAGGAGTAGTGTCAGTCGCGAGCGCACCCCCAGCTAGGGGACCAGTGGACCCTCTAGTTGGGAAACAAATTTTCACTTACCCAGGTACAGGGGGCACTGCCTGGGTGGACCGATTATTTCCCCCATACTTGTGGGAACTGTATGAAGTATTTAAAATCAACAAACAAACCACAAGACGAGGAGGAGAGTGTGGGTGAGCTTGGCTCGCCTGCAGGTGCGGTAGAGGGGAGCCCAATTGGCTCTGGCGCCCGTGGGGAGCCGCTGGCTTCGTCTAGCGAGCCCCACACACGGGCATCGGACGGGGTCGGACTCTGAGTCCGACACGTCATTAGCGGAGCGGTTGAGCGTGAGCTCGAAAGGCTCACGCCGCCGCGTGACGGGGACGTTTAAGCGTCCCAGGCTGGAGGAGGACACTTTGTCCCCGTCCTCCAGCACGCAGGAGGCGCCTCCCCCTAAAGTCCCCACGGCGGCGCGGGGTAGGGGCGGCAAGGGCAGCGGTTGCCGGAAACCGGCACCAGCTGCCTGCGTGGAGTCAGCCGAGCAGCTGGCTGCAGAGGGCAGGGCTCTTTCGAGCGCTGCCCGCTCAGAGTCCTCCGCGGCGGAGATGTCCGGCGTCGACATGTCGGAGGGCGAGCACGGTTCCGGGAGCGAGGGCGAATCCGGGGGCTTCCTCCAAGTCATCGTGGAGGAGCTCCGCAGGCTGGCTATGACCAAATACCAGCCTGCCAGGACCGCCCTCCTCAAAACAGCAGAGGCCACCATAATGAAGGTGGCCTTGCAACGGTATGGTGTGCCCACCGCTGAGGGAGTGCACCAGGAGCTGGTGGAGATGCGGCGGGAGATGGCGCGCTTGGCGGCCTCCAATGCGGCTCTGGAGGCCGAGCTGCGGACGGCCAGGGCTGAGCTCGCCGCCGCTCGTGAGAATCGCCCCCAGCCCTCAGCGGATGCCGACGTAGTCGGACTGCTGCGAGCGGAGATGGCCGCTTTCCAGCGACGTTTTGACGTGCTGGAGGGCAGGCTCTTGCGTCCCCCGCTCGCAGCGAGCCAGGTCGCCCCCGCGGTCCCGAGGTCTTGGGGGCGAGGTCCTCGCCCCGCGGCTGTAGTAATTACACTGCAGCCCGAGGCGGTCAACAGGGGCGTTACATATGGCGACGTCCTCGCCAAATTAAAGTGGGCGGTGACTCCTGCGGAGTTCGGGGCCCCGGACGGGTTTGCAGTCAAAGTGACTGCCACTGAAGCCCGTCTCTTGGAGGTCCCCGGCGCGACCAGCGGCCCATCGGCTGACGCCCTGGCTGAGAGGCTTTGGGCGTGCCTCGGTGCGGACGACGCCCGCGTGTCCAGGCCCACCAAATGCCTGGATATCAGGATTTTAGGCTTGGACGACTCCGTAACGGAGAGTGAGGTGGTGGCCGCTGTGGCCAGGACGGGAGGGTGCCCTGCTGACCAGGTCAGGGTGGGCGCCATCCATCCGAACAACTCGGGGCTGCGCACGGTGGTGGTCAGCTGCCCCGTCACAGCGGTCAAAAAGCTAAAGGAGGGCAAAAGACTCTTGGTGGGATGGGTCTCGACGCAGGTAAAGCTGCTCGAGGCCCGGCCTCTGAGGTGCTACCGTTGTCACGTGGGGGAGCACGTGAGCGCCAAATGCACCTCGGAGGTGGATCGCAGCGACTGTTGCTTCCGCTGCGGTCGGCCCGGTCACAGGGCCGGCTCCTGCACTGCCCCGCTGCACTGCAACGCATGTGCGGCGGCTGGCAAGCCGGCCAATCACCGGGTCGGGAGCAAGGGCTGCTCCCCTCCTGCCAAACCCAAGGGCAAAGGTAGGCCCTCCGCCGCCCCTGCCGTTTCCGCCGCCGCTGCCGCCACTGCCACCGCAGTCGCCGCTGCCACCACTGAGGAGGTCGGAATGGACTGTCAATAATGGCTCCATTCCGCCTCCTCCAGGCGAACATCAACCACTGCGCCGCTGCTCAGGATATCCTAGAAAGAGAAAGAAAGAAAGAAAGTGGTCGATCAATGTCGCCGTAGTCTCCGAGCCGTATTTTGTCCCGCCCAGGGATCACTGGGTGGCGGACCTGGACGGCGCGGTGACCATCATCTCGTCGGCCGCCGCCAGTACCCCGACTCTTGAGGCTGCTCAAAGAGGCCGGGGTTGTGTCGCAGCACGGTTCGGAGAGCTCGCTGTGGTGGGCGTGTACTTCTCTCCGAACCTCCCTCTCGGAACTCTCGCTGAGTTCCACAACTCCTTGAGGGAGTTGGTCACCGTCGTCGTCGGGTTCCGCTCCCTCCCCGTGCTCGTCCTCGGGGACTTCAATGCCAAAAACTTGGCTTCGGGTTCCCGGTTCACCGACGTCCGGGGTAGGATGGTGGAAGACTAGGCCCTTGAGACAGGCCTAGTCGTCCTGAACCGGGGTTCTGTCCCCACGTGCGTGCGGATGCAGGGCGAGTCGGTGGTGGACTTTTGCTCTGCTCTGCTCTCTGCTCTGTCACCACGTATTGTTGGCTGGCGCGTCATGGAGGAGGTGGAGACGTACTCCGACCACCGGTATATCCGGTTCGACGTCTCCGCCGAGTCCGCAGACCCGCCGGCCAGACAGGCCCCATGTGGCCCGCGTTGGGCGCTGAAACAGCTCGACCGGGAGCTGCTCCTGGAAGCCGCCATCGTGCAGGCCTGGGTGATACCACCGGTCCCAAGTTCCATGCCATTAAGATCATATTTAATGGTCTGGTTCGTAGTAAGTTGGAAACCAGCTCGTGTGTGTGGAATCCTCACGAAAGTACCTACGCCCTACTCTTAGAGAAAGTTCAAAAAGCTTTTCTTAGGAATTTGTCCGACATCGACAAAATTTTTATTGGGTAGTCTTGGATATAACTCACTAGAGGTAAGGAGAGCAAGAAACCAACTTGTAGTAGCCTGTAAAACCCTCCGTGGCGTTATTGACGCTCCGGACATACTGGAGTCACTATCACGTTTTTACGTTCCAGACAATTACTGCCGGGGTAAAAAGCACAGATTGTTTGCCGTGCCCTCATGTCGTACCGTAGCACGTGCTAAAGCACCGATTCCTCGCACTCTGGCCGCGCTCAATGGTCTCTTGGATTCCAATCCAACTAGTGATCTGTTTGCGGACGGATGGAAGGAAATTTTATCGGAATGCCTGAAGTACTGCGAGAGGAACTTATGAATGCTACCATTTTTTAAATAAGTTTTACTCTTCTGGTTCGTGTATGTTTTGTTCTAGTTTTATTATTTCACCGTTATTTTATTAATGTGTCCAGTTACTTTAATTGGTTTTGTTATCAACCGTTGTGACTGTAATAAATAAATAAATAAATAAATAAATAAATAAATAAATAATAGTATGTCCACCACACTTGAACCACACGACCAAAAAGGTACAAGGCAGTTAACATACCGAAAAATAAAAAAAAACAAGCTTAATTTCTTGATTATCTGTAGCAAAGCAACCACTCTAACGACACCCTCTTCACATCACTGGGGTGTACAAATATGACGTCACAATTATTTATTCAAAAGCACTGTGTTGCATAAATAATGAACAACTAAAATGTATGCACGCTTCTCACTAGTAGCGGAGTTGTGTAATTATATGGAGACTAGTTTTTTGTGCCTCAAGTGTATGTGGACGGTCATCAATCACGATAAAATAGTCCTTTTTGATCGTGTGGGAATTTTGAGGTATGTAGAAGTGAATGAGTTGAAATCAATGATTTTTAAATTACTAGTCTGTAATTGGGATGATGGCGGTATATGAAAATTAAAAATCGGTTTACTTAGTCCGTAAGTTAGGTAATGAAAAAACATTAGACATTCTTTTGTTATACAATAAAATAATACTTAGATAAAACGAATCAAAGTTTAGGAGTGGGGGGGCTAAAACGTCATTTCTACGCATAAAATGTACATAGAAGTGACATCACGCGACATTTCCGATCAATATATCGTCGAAAGTAGTCGTTTCTGTAAGAAAATAAAAAATACGTGTCTAATGATTTAAAATAATCTACCAGACGGACATTACAATAAAAATTAGGCGTCTACCCTATTATTGGTGACTTAGTGTTATGATTTTTAAAATGTATGTGCAACTTTTTGTTGTTGCGATCGAGTTTTTAACTTACCTATCTTTATTGTTTAAAAAATATTTTCTGTTTCTCAGACACCAAATAGGTAGGTACTCAAAACATTTAAAACATAATAATTATCTATCTTTCTCACTCAAGTGTCGTTGTAAATATGCCCTCAGACCGAACTAAATAATAATAAATTTTAGATTTTAACATGCGCGCGGAGGCACGTCGCCGGGGCGAAACTCCGCTGCCGCGCCAGATAAGTGCGTGGCGGGATGAGCTCCGGCGCGATCTCATGGCGGAATGGCAGCAACGACTGTCGCAACCGAGGGCTGGGCTCGCTGCCATTGCAGCGGTAAGTCCCCTCTTTGAGGAGTGGCTTGAGAGACGCTACGGCGACCTACCGCCTGACGCAGGTCCTCACCGGACATGGAAGTTTCGGGAGGTACCTGTGTCTGATGGGGCGGGAGGAAACGCCCGGGTGTCATATCACTGCGAGGACCGCCCTGAGGACACGGTGGAACGCACGGTGGGAGAATGCCCTGCGTGGGCTGAGCACCGCCGTGCCCTCGGGGAAGTGATCGGCGATGGCGACCTCTCGCGTCCGGGCCTAGTGTGGGTCATGATGCGGAGCGAGGGGGACTGGGATGCCGTCTCCTCCTTTTGCGAAGCAGTCATGCTAGCTAAGGAGGAGGCTGGACGCGTGAGGCAGCGAAGCGCTGCCTCCTCGCAACCCAGCCACCGCGAAGGACACACCGGTCGTCGGGGATCGCGGGACGATTTTTTTTTTCTTTCGTTTTTCTGTTTTCCTGAACGGTTAAAACGGGAATTATCTACTCGTGCGTACAAAGTCGCTTGAATAAAAGTTAGTTATTATTAATAAACTTACAAACTATATGTGCACTTGATATATTGATCGACACAAACTTCATAACGTTCCATACGATGTGTGTATACATCTTGAAAATTCACATAATGGAAACTTTGAGGAGTGTAGCTTCCATAATTCAGGAACTGAGGATTATCTAAATATTCTCTATATTTAATCGATTCGGTTCGATCCTCTGCTGTCCTCCTAGTTTCTGGATTGGAATCTACAATAGTAAATATATTATTATACACATAGTACATAGTTCAGTAATTTGGTGGACTGACTACCTCTCGCCTCACTCGGGGGAGAGAAGTAATTGAATGATTTTCCCCACTCAAAAAAAAGAGAACCTTAAGGTACTTTATTTTTTTAATAATTAAAAATCTAAGTACTTACCATATTCATCTGGTTGATCAACCTCTCTGTTCAGTCTTTGTATTATATTCCTGCAGTTAATTTCTATTATGAGCAGTAATAAAATGTAAAGAGCTAATTGGAATCGACACACACCCCTAACTTTATTATATCCAGACATGTTGCGATTTACATCGAATCTTGAGTGTCAATGTGCATTAAAACTAAGATCAAGCCTTTTATTAAAGTTTGTTAATGTAATCAGTTAATGTTTGCACAGGTTATTAGTGATAACAGCGATAATGTTGATGATGCCGATTAGTTTTTGTAGATCTGATTAGAGCAAACTACGATTTACCATCAATTAAAGTAGGTACTCTTCTCGTCCGTGCCATTGGTGGCATTGGTGCCATTGGTTGGTAATCAAATAAGAAATTGGAATCTTCAATCAAAAAAGAATGGAATTAATTAAACAAAATAAAATTTCGTATTCAGATCGTAATAAAAATCTCATTACGCGTCTTAAATCGATTGAGAGAAGTAAACTTAAAATTGATTCAATAAAATATATTATATTACTAGCTGACCCAACAAACTTCGTACCGCCTCCATTGTTTTGTTTTTTTTTCATCTTTTAAACCTTTCCACGAACATTGCAAAATCAAAATTAGCCAAATCGGTTTACCCGTTCTCGAGTCATAGCGTGACTGACGAACCAAAATTCATTTTTTATTTATTAAGATTTGATGTACGAAATGATAATGCCAGATCCTGACCCAGTCATACTATCATTTACAAAAAAAGTAAATTGATAAAAATAATTTTGACGAATAAGGAACCTTTTCACAATAAATCTTTTTATTTTTAAACTTGCGGTTTACAATTTATTAAAAAAAGAAGTTCAATCCCGGAAATACTTTTTTGTAATGCTCTTCCATATTGTCTAATGACTATTTGCGTTACATCATACACATCGCTTGTACGAAACTATGAAAATAAAAAAGTAAGTAACTGTAAAAAAGATATCATTATACATAAAATATTATATCAAAAGTATAATTATGTATAACATTTATTTATTTATTAATAAATACAAATAATCACGAAAATATAAAAGAAACGATTACTATCATTAGTTATGATTTTTTTGTGTAACGAAACGTTTTGAAGCGTTTGTCAGTTGTCAGCTGTCAGTGTCAATATTATCTTTCATTCGCTCTCTGCGTTTCCGGTGTTTCCGCGTTATTTATCATTATTGTTTTGTGTTTTAAACAAAAATCGCAAGTTCTACAGGTTTCAGGACAAATGTTTAGGTATCGGTAATTCATACACTACACGATGCTGAATACTGCATACTTGTACATGAATTCTAACATAGTGGGTCAAAGATGTACTGAGCACCTGGCATTGTCCTTTTTTATTACGTCATGAACAACCACTTTTATTAGCATCTGCTCTAGGCATTTTCTGATGGTACCTGACAATAAATTGCGCTGACGATATCAAGTAGTTTTTTGGCATTTGCCCATTAATAAATAATAATAATACAAATAATATGTGCAGGTGGACTTAATATCTTATCTTCTGATTTATTTCGTTGCGGGATCAAAGACAGTTATGCATATTCCTGAGACGCGCCGGATTTTTAATGTTCCGGTATTTTCCAGACTATATCTACTGTAGATTCTGGCTTTCGGAAGTTACAGCAGTTTGGGACTGTGGCGGGCTTGTCCCTCAAAATAAAGATGCACTGTGAGAATACTTTTCAATTTATAGAATATTTGTTATTATAGAAAAATAACTACCATTTTACGTTACGTGAACCAAGCTGCGGGCCAAGCTACGTTTTGATACCTATAACATTTATAATCAGTTAACCTATTTTCGCGATCTCTACTTACATTTAATATGGTTTTTCCACAGACGACACGATTTCCCTTTTGACGCAAAAAGGTTTATAATTTATTTATCGTATAAGCGCCTTTTATCCTCCAGCTGTATTTTTTCAAGTAACGATAATCTACCTTTGATTGAAGCTCGGAACTGTTTCGCGGCTCCGTACCAATCGGGCATCAGCCTTACTGAGCTCAAATAAATTTGGTCAAAACCATAACCGAATAGGCCAGGAAGGAGCATGCAGTATATTACAATTTTGTATTGCGTGAATAATTATCATTTTTTTAGGTCTATGTTGATTTCTCCACTAATGAAAGCGATGGAGAATACAGACAATAATTAAATTCACGAGAATTACAAGGACACACCTAAACCTATAAGCTTTTCTAAGATTATCATACCACAATATGATTCAACAAAACCAGTATAAACCGACTACTAAACATGCGAAAAGATCATACGAGATCATGATACATTCGTTTATTTTATTACTTAGTGATGATTTCATCTAAAATAATTATTCAATTTTGGTTATAATTATCTACTATTTGTGTATACTCTACCTTGCCACGTATAATTTATTTGAATCGGTTCTGGGTCTTTGCTCCATACATTTCTGTGCATCGTACTTTAAAATATGGTGGCTTCCTGTTCATGATTGTGCAGCGTTCCCATCGTAATAGACGAGCATAACTGACTCGGTAATCTTTTTTTTTCAGGTTCAGTCGACATTACTGTAACTAGTGACGTCGCTCTTACATGCACACACACACATTAAAAAAATAATAATAAACACATTGGCAGTAATAAGATAATAATATTGTAGGTAAACATGAAAATTCCAAGTTAGTTTAAACTTAGGAAACTTTGACCACATCCAGGAACTATATACACAACATTATAACACAAACACACAGACCAAGAACTACTTCGTACATAATTATATTATTATATAAGTTACTTACTTAACATGAGCGTTTGTTTAGTGGCGTGACTATATAAACACATTCCTTGGGCATCGCTAGAGCTCTTAAGCAAAGTATTATTAGATTTTTCGAAAAAAAAAATGTTCGTTATGGTGCTTAGTTTGGAAAATCGAAATCATACCATATATGACAATCAGGTTATTTTTTAGTGGTGAAAATCATTCACAGTCTTCACCCGCCTTGAGTTAGGCGAGAGGGAGTATCAGGGAGTATATTGGAAGCTTTTTTTTTTTTGAGGGGGGAAAATCATCCAATGACTTCTCCTGACCGGGTGAGGCGTGAGGGAGTGTCAGACTCTGACTCGCTCGGGTCTGGTTCTGGTCAGACGGCGAGCAACTCATGCTCGTTGTCCGCAGGCCCGTGATTACGGTTTAGTATATTAATTAGCCGACTTCAAAAAACAGGGGGTTGAAGTCGCTTTTTTAACGAAGTTTACAACATCAACCAGTTTCAATGAATCGACTCTACTCGAGGTTAAGTTATGATAACGGCGTCCCATATGCGTACAATTGCGCACATTAAAATGTATTAGATAGGTAGTGATATGTTAATCTCTCGTTTAGCGCGAATAAGTGTTATTGACCGTTATTTACTGTTTGGTGCTGTCAGGCTGTTTATTAAAATATACTTCGACTTTTTAACCATTTTCAGTTGGACCGGTATCTAACCTACAGCGAGGCGAGATAATGTTTCTTCATGAGTGCTTTAAACGAGCAAGTGACTGCGCTTCTCCTATAGAAAGTAGCAGGTGTATACTGTGGAATTATAAGTGTGGGAGAGCCATACTTCGGCACGGACTCACAGAAAACTAACTTGAAGCAACGTGCGTTTCGTGTTTTGTCATGTGAGTGAGGTCACAGGAGCCCCAATTACCCCCCCCCCCCCAATCTCTCCAATCCCAACAATCCTCAAACTCCTAATCCCAAAAGGACGATAAAGCAGCTCAAAAGAGAGGTTTGCTGCCAGTTTTTCTGTCAAATGGCACACCCTCAGTCGATCATATTCCAATCTAAATCAACCCGACATTCAAATTCAAAATCTTCGATTTTCGAATTAATTATCTATTTCACTTCACTTCGCCACACGCAAATCTCATTTACAATAGAGGTAGTATCTTCTGAACAACCTGGCTATTGCCTGGATACTTGCCAATGTTCGGCAATAATCGTCTATCATACATAAGCATTTAGTACCGGGATGGCCGAGCTTTGTTCGGTGTTTTTTTATTAAACGACATTTTCTGAAAATCGGTATTCAGCTATATTTCAATTTCCAATCTCATCATATGGGAAATCAATAAACTTTTATATGAACCACTTACAGAAATTAAAATGGCGTTAAGCTGGCCACGTAGTTAAGGTGAGGGATGACCGTTGGATTTACAATCTGACGTTTGTAACACTCCGTGAGTTAGTCCATGCAAACTTTCGACTGCATGACGAGTAACCTGAATGATTAATTTCACCCGCACTGCTTGCCTCGCATTGGTTACCTATAGCGTGATATTTTATAAATTATTGCCTTCCTTGATAAATTAACTATCCAACACCAAAAGAGTTATTTGAATCGAACCAGTAGTTTCGAAATTAGCGTATTCAAACAAATAAACACTCCTCAGCTTCATATACCTCTACATAATATGTATATGAACATGAAATTCATATACATAATACATAAATGAATATGAAAGAAAGAAAGAAAGAAAACGGTTGAAAAGAAGGTGAAGTTCTGAAAAAAAGTAGGTTAAATATATTTTTTTTATCTTAAATACCAAAAATCTAATTTATTCCAATGACACGTGTATCCCAATCCTTATCCATCTTATTCACAGTCGCTTAATTCCGGCTGAAACCTACCGCTTCTGTCAATTTGTGTCCCATTGTGTGTGAGGGTACGTAATTTCCGGTCAAATAAGCATGTCTTACTAGCAAAAATATCCTTTCGTTTATGTAAAATTCGTTTTATAATTGGTTCGATTTTTAGGGGTTGGCGCCTTAGAGTATTAAATACGGGCGCTCAATGCGGCATGGTATACGCCAACGATTTTATCACTAATCTTAGAGTTATCGTTGGCCGAGTGGTCACAACTGCGACTGAAGGCAAGGGTCCTCGGGCTCGACTCCCGGGTCGAGCAAAGTACTACAGGGTGTTTTTTTAATCTCAGTAGTAGCAGGAATTTTTTTATGGGATAAGCCGGTAAACGAGCTTGCGGATCACCTGATGGTAAGCAATCGGCGTACCCGAGCGTACAGCGCGTTGCGTTCCGCGCGCGCCTCAAAGAGCCATCAGACCATTACAGATGGGGCCCAATA